TATTTTGTTACGGTAAAACTGATAATAATTATATAACAACAAATATTTCATTAAACCTAAATAGTAAGGGATAACGACTTATAAGACCATTGAAGTTTCAAATTTGTTCAAAAAACACCATTAAAGTATTAGATGTTCAAAAAACACCATCAAACTAAGATATATGTTCAAAAAACACAAACGAAATAGATATTCTGTTCAGAAAACACCATCTTTATGGTTTGAGGTAACTTACATGTTTAGCCCCTAACTTTTTTTTCTTAACTTGGACAGTCCCTAGCATTTATATTTATTTTTCCTTCGGACCATGATCGAGTTAAAAGACTAATATACCTTTATTAGTTTCATTTAACATTTATTTTTATTACTTGTTAATTATTTATACAATTGATATATTTATAATAAATAATAACATAAATTGTATAAATAATTAACAAGTAATAAAAATAATGTTAAATGAAAGTAATAAGGGTATATTAGTCTTTTAACTCGATCATAGTCCGAAGTCGAAGCAAATTTAAATTAAAGCGATCGTCTGAGTTAAGAAAAAATAATTAGGGACTAAATATATAAGTTAACCAAAACCATAGAAATGGTGTTTTTTGAATAGAACATGAACTTCGTTGGTGTTTTTTGAACATATGTTTTAGTTTGATGGTGTTTTTTGAACATGTAATACTTGAATGGTTTTTTTTCGAACGAATTTGAAACTTCGATGATCTCGTAAGTCATTTTCCCAAATAATAACGATTCTTCTGTATTACCTTACTTCACGACTTTTGCGAACATATTCCGAAATTACTTTTTGTCACTAGTTGAAAACGATGGCATATATGTTATAGACCTACCACGTTTGGTCATTTTAGTGATTCAAAAAAAATGTCACGTTTCACATATTAATTAAAATAAGAATAATTAGTTGTAAGTTGTAGCGTAATTGATAAGATTAGGACATGCATGGATGTGATTGAACTAGTGGGAGTTAAGTTCCCATTAATATATGGGCACCCTGGTACAAGGTACTTTGCTTATAAAATCTCATAAACTCACGTTCACTTCTTCAAACATTTTCAGTTCAATATCCCTCGTCTTCAAATCCCACCCCACCCCTTCACCTCTCTCTCTCTCTCTAGTCTTTCTATATATACATATTACATAAAGATATATGTATATATAGATACAAATATATGGTGGTGTTTTGCTTTTTGGTGGATCAAACACGTAAGATCAAGAAGACAAAGCCGGTGGCAGGATCGTGTTCAAGATGCAGACGAGGAGCCAGCGTCGCTGAAATCATAACCAAAACCAGATTTTGTAGCATCCCATTTTACTGGAGATCTTGCAAGGCCATTGTCTGCACGTTTTGTGGTGCCACTCTTAAAGCATATCCATGATCATGTCCTTACATACATGCATACATAACCATCATCATCATGGTCGTAGTTGTATAATTATACGATTGATAAACTAGTTTTTTTATTTGTTTCCATTTATGTTTAGTATATACATCTAATGTCTATTTTTGGTATGGAATAGCATTTATAAGACTTGAATGTTGTTTTCAAAAGTTAACCTACCCCTTGTATAATGACCTGTGTCATTTTGGCAGCAAGTAACTTCTAATAAATGTTACATTATATCGATCTTTCTTACTGTGCATCAGGAGACACCCCCACCCAACCCCACCCTACTTATGGCTTGTTATCTTATTCTTGATTGATAGCAATGATGATGTCAGCAGATCATCGTGTTGTTGTTAGTACTTGAACTCAAAACTGTGAAGCGCCATTTACGTTGATAATTTGTTATGTAAAAATTACTTTGTCTTCACAAGACATTGTAAAGTTGAGGACCACCATTTACAGTGATAATGTTGTTATGTCTAAGTTACTCTTATTTCTTGTTGCCAAGGACGTGTTCCTTTTACCTAGTCAACTCTCCTGTGGTACAATTGTCTGATTGATCCTATAATTAAAGTCCTTAGATTTAGTAGAACTCAATTCTAGCTTAGCTTCTTAAATTCTGTATTTTTTTTTTTTAGAACATGAATCTTTAAGTTTGTAAGTTAGAGCTCCTTTAAATGGATTGAAATATAAAACAGATACATAAAGTTGAGTTACTTCTGAAATGACTCGTTTGCCCTTCATGCTATAAGGACCATTTATGTAATTTGCTCCAGCCATAGGGTCTGTATATGTATCTTTGTCTATTATTTATTATTTTTTTTAATGTGTTTATATTTCTATGATTTAGAATTTTTTTGATGTTTTGATCAAATATATTTTTAATTTTTTTTTCAGCTTGCATTTTTTGATATTTTGTTCGTATAATTTTTTCAAATTTTTTTTGATGTTTTATTCGAATACATTTCTTAATATTTCTTTGGACTCTTTGCTTGAATAATTTCTTCTATTTTTTTGAAGTTTTGTTCAAATATATGTTTATGATTTTTTTACATTTTGTTTGTTTATATTTGTTAAAGACTTCATGGTCGTACTATAGTCATAATTTGTATCTTAATTCACTTACAATCATATTTTTCTATTTTCTTGTTCTTTTAATATATATACGGTTCTATAATTATTATTTTTCTAAATTCAAATATATAAGTATATAACATATAAAGTTGTATAATTATTATTTTTGTAAAGATTTTTATAAACATTTTTTTAATTATATAAAAACTTTGTTAAACGTGAATATGATTAATATAGATACACTAATCAAAACATATAGGCTAATCGGAAAAAATGATTAAAAGAATTAAATAACTCGAAAATACTAAAGTTAATTCCAATGTGAAATGATATGCGCGTTCTCGTCAAGACTACGAAACACTCTTAAGTTAATCGATGTGTACCTAATTTTTATCAATCATATTCATGTTTAACAAAAAATTTTACATTTTTTATTAAAAATGTTTATAAAAGAAAAGAAATAATTCAAACAAAAATTCAAAAGAAATATTAATAAATGTATTCGAAAAAATGTCAAAAAATTAGAAAAAATTATACGAACAAAATACCAAAAAATGTAAGCGAAAAAAAAAACATTAAATAATATATCCGAACAAAACGTCAAATTTTTTTTAAAACATAGTAATATAAAAAATTAAATAAAAATAATAATAAATAATAGATGATGTTACGTAAATGGTCCCTATGGCTGGAACAAAGTACATAAATAATCCATATGGTAAGAATGGCAAATGTGTCACTAACTGAAAAAGTTAATACCTTTAACTTAAGATTGTCTTTATAAGATTTTGAAACCATAAAGACAATTTATGCACAAAATTTGTCATACAGACCGGAGTTGGTCAATTGTGTCAACCACAATGACCATTTATGTAATTTTGTCAATAAAATATAGGTTTTATACACCTTAATTTTGCAAAAGATTATAACGAAGGCACTTACAAAATTATAAGACCAGTCCCCATGGTTTTCATATATACTTTATACTATTGTTATTACAAATAGGTGAGTCCTAAGACCCACCTTGAAGCTACATAAATAGTCATTAATCTATAGTGACAATAAGATCAAAGAGAGAATTGGACTCCAACCTCAATGGTTTGAACTCAAAGTCTCATTATAAAGTTCCATTCTCCATCCATTACAAGTTCCATTCTTCAACCATTATGATCTTTTCTAGTTAAAACACTTTACGGGTTAGGGTTTTCAAGAAAAATGATTTTTTTTAGGTTTTAATTTCTCTTTTGATTGTGTTATTGTATTTTAAGATGACTGGTAATAAATTTGAGAATGATGAAGAAACATGTTATGTTATTGAATAATTTAAATGCATACATCATATATTTATAGTAGGTTTTGATAAGCCAAATTGATGTAATTGAATAATTCAAATACATACATAAAAATATTTATAATAGGTTTTGATAAGCCAAATTGCACTAGAAGCTTTGAAAAAGATATATATTACATGCAAGTTAAATTAAATAGATAAACTGGATAATCAAAATGTCAAGCACTTCGTTTTACGTTGGACATTCAAACTCATAAATATCTAACTTGCTATGTACAAATTGAAAACGTTCTGATCCAAAAGCTTTAGGGAAAATTCGTGTATGTTGATACTTGGAACGAATGATGCATGTCTTTTTTCTTCATTGTTCTGTAACATCTATAAAATTCATGAAAAATTTGAACTTTTAAAAAATTCCAAAACCATCCATTGTTTAAAAATTGTTTTCAAAATAGTTTAACATCAGAGAAATCTCATAAATCATAAAATAAAATGTGAGGAGGTGCACCATCAAGCTTCCGCCTTCCTATGATCATCCGATGTACATTAAAACAAAATCCACTACTGTAAGCCAAAAGTTATGCGAGTTCCTCCAAAATACCGATACATAACAAACAACGCATATACAAATAACAGTGATGTGACTTTTTAATGCACTGTTTTTTTATTTATTTATAATTCTTAATTTATTGCATCTAAACCACATCTTACAGGCAGTGAACCCGATCGAATGTAGTATAGCTTTGATAAGCAAGAGTGTTGAACACAAGGGGAACGGTAGTGAATTAATATTAGAATGTTTGATTATAGGTTACACAAAACACACGAAAGCAGTAAAGAAAGGTTTTATGGAATTAAATATCAAACAATCAATTAAACAATAAATCTCGATAAACTGACCAAAGACAAATCTCTTTAGGTACTTTGGTTAAGACAAATTACATCTTAAAATCATAAATAATTGCACACACATAATTTTAATACCTGTTAGTTATCTTTTCCACTTCATTTAATCTATTAACATGATTAAGTTATGCTTATGAAGAGGTATCAATTTTTCCGAGTTTTTTTTAGTTGTGTGAAAATTGGAGCTTTTTTTCTCACGTTTGTATCAAACAAATGAGAAAGTGGTGAGACTTCTTTTTAAACAATGATTCAAAAGGTTGTTCATCTTCGTCTATTTCATATGAAATTCAAAATGAAGGCTTCCACGTCCGTATGAAGTGCAAAGGATGCGAATGAAATTGTTCAGGTAAAAACAATCACATTTTTATCTATTTATTGGCATCATCTAAACATGGAGAATTTATTAAAGCTTCAATAAGTATATTTGATAATATCATTTTATCTGTTTAAACGTAAGAGATTAACACTTAACTACATATTGTCAGTTCATAAGTGTTTTGTTAGTTATGTTCGAAAGAATAATAGAGAACTACTAAACATACACCTTTTAACAAACAATATTTTAAATCTCATTTCACTAGGGTCAAAATCATTAAATTGATTGGGTATTGTCCTGCCCTTCATTCATTTAATTTAAATATTCTGACCATAACGTTGTTGTTGTTATTATTATTATTATTATTATTTGTATATTGTTTCTTTTCATATGAACACAATGATCAGTCGGCCAAATATGGGGATATGTGGTAAAATTGTACTATGATATAGACATACGACCTACTAAAATTGAAAGTATTTTGGAAAATGTTGAATGTTGATTCCATTGAAATTGACAAGAAAAGAGAAAAAAACGTCACTATGTAATTGTGAGATTATACAAATGACCTTGTCTTAAACCCGTGCCAATGATGCAGGGCTTCTGCTAGTTCAATTGAAAGAAGTGTGAAAATTAAGAACATGTGATTAAAAAATAAACTACTATTTCATGATTTTGGTGATGCATTGCATGAATCTACTTGGGACTACTCATAAAGATATTTTTCTTAATTTTTAGTGATAAATTCGGGTTCATGAATTTCATACTTGGATGAATTCAAAGTGCTTACCTTTCTTGTAAATCTGTTCATGAGGTGGAGAAATTTGAACAAACTATGACTACTCAACAAAGTATCCATGGTCCACCTAGATGTAATCACGAGTAATTTCGATTATAAATACACAAATAATTCAAAAAATACCAAGAATCCAAAACCCCCAAACTTCTATAACCAAATTATGAACTATAATTAATATTGATTCAAGAAACCTACTATCATCTATTTGTTGTGATTAAAAAAAAATCCCTATAACCTGCAAAGAAATGAAGATACTTAATAGAAATAGAATGAACTATTTGGAGAACAAAAATGGAAAGCCTTACCTTGAGATGGAAGAAGGAAGATGGTGTAGTCCTTAACTCATAGGAGGAAGCTCCAATATGAAATTTTGAAAATAAATTTTTTTGTTCACATGATTTTCGGGTGTGGATTGTTCCATACCTTCTAATTTTTATGCTTATAATTATTCATATCCATTAAAATTATAACAAATCATCATTTGATATATTCCTAATATAGTCTTAATGAGTTAGTTAAAAAAAATGGAATAATGATACTTGTCATCATTTTATTGGATAGGAACATTTGTATGCATAAAAAGTAAGAATCAATTTAATTTCTGTTTTAATAATGCTCATCCGATATTATTAAAACAAAGTTTAAATAATGTTTGAATTATATTTGACACCTTAGAAAAACCAATAAACTGATTTTATTTTTTTTCGTACATTACAATTATAATGTAAATGGACAAACCACAAATACTTATTCGAAACTTAAAACATAGCTTAAATAACATTCGAGTTATATCAGATGTATTAAAAAATTAAATTTTGTTTTGATTTATATGTTACACTTTATGCATAAAATGGCTAAAAAATATTGATAAAAACATACATTTCAACATATTTAAACTTTTAGTTGCGGTTTATTAGTGGACTATACAAATTGGAATGAATTGAAATGAAAAATCTCATCAATTACGAGTTTGGTTGATTGATAAGTAGAATCGATTAATGAATTTTAGCATTCCTGTCAAATTCCAACTACTCCAAATTTTTTTATTCAAAAAATTATAATTTCTTATTTAATTATAGTCTAATGTAAAATATAAAAAGGTTTTATAATAAAAATGTTACAAGCAAGGCCCATTGGGTTAACCAGGACCACTATTTAAGCCCATTTGTTCTAAGCCCGATTCATCTTTAGGATTTCCCTCCAAATCCAATGAACTAAATTTCCAATTCACGTTGACAGTCGGTTTTCGCGTAAAAGAAGCCCTAATTTTTCCCCCTCAACGTTTCAAAAAGATAATACCAACGATTCAACTTCCGGTACGTCTTCTCCATCCCTCCAAGATCTTCCTAACCCTTTTTAGTACTGCTTTTAGTTCCTAATGAATGGTATAAGTTAGGGCTCGAATTTGATTGTGCAAATGATTTCATGAACCGGTTGAAGAGAACTGATATAATATAAGATTTTCTCGATGATGTTTAAAGTTAAGATGCCTTTGGATGCAGAAAATTCAGGTCATATGATTTCTTCATGGTAATTTGGTGTTCTTTACGATTGGACTCATGCTGTTTGATGATGTCTGAGAGAAGTTAAATTATGCCTTTTTAAACTGAGGTATAATAATGGTATACATCGTAAAACCAACGAAACTTGAGTATTTGATGTCACATGCTAGTTTCTAGAGGGTTACAATTCGTGTGTCTTTGAGTTTGGATAATAGTTGCAGGATGGAAACCCCGGTTTCCAAGAGGCCGTTGAGAAAGAAACACCTCTCTAGAAGCTACGATGAGAATTTGATGGATGATTATCTGGATAAGCAATTAGGTAATTCCCCAAGGAAAAGGTTCAGAACAAAGAAGGAATTGGAGAAAGAAACAGAAAAAGAAGCCATGATAGCCCTTTCTTTAGGGTTTCCCATTGATGCTCTTCTTGAAGAAGAAATCAAAGCCAAAGTAGTAAGCGAGTTAGATGGAAAAGAACAAAACGACTACATCGTTGTCAGAAACCATATTCTTTCAAGATGGAGAGCTAATGTACACGCATGGCTTTCCAAAGGTGAAATAAAGGAAACTGTAAGTAACGAATTCAATCACTTACTTCATTCTGCTTATGACTTTCTTCTCTTCAATGGGTATATAAATTTTGGAGTTTCACCAACTTTCAAACCTCAAATGCCTGAAGAATCAACAGAAGGATCTGTAATAATAATCGGTGCAGGACTTGCTGGATTAGCTGCAGCTCGCCAGTTGTTATCTTTTGGTTTTAAAGTGATTGTGTTAGAGGGTAGGAACAGACCTGGGGGTAGAGTCTATACCCAGAAGATGGGTCAGGGGCATAATGGTAATTATGCTGCGGTGGATCTTGGTGGAAGTGTTATCACAGGTATTCACGCAAACCCTCTTGGAGTTTTAGCTAGACAGCTATCGATTCCTCTTCATAAAGTGAGAGATAAATGTCCTCTATATGATCCAGAAGGAAAACCTGTTGGAAAAGAAACCGATTCAAAAGTAGAATTCATTTTCAATAGACTTCTAGACAAAGTAACCGAATTCAGACAAATCATGGGTGAATCATGTGGTGACATTTCATTAGGATCAGTTCTTGAAAAACTCACAAAACTATATGCTGTAGCCACAAGTGTAGAAGAAAAACAGTTACTCGATTGGCATTTTGCAAATCTAGAATACGCAAACGCGGGCCCCCTTTCGGATCTTTCAGCTGCTTATTGGGATCAAGACGACCCATATGAAATGGGTGGTGATCATTGCTTTTTAGCAGGTGGGAATTGGAGATTAATCGAAGCATTATGTGAAGGGGTTCCGATTTTTTATGAAAAGATTGTGAAAACCATTAGATATGGTGAAAATGGTGTTGAAGTAATTACAAGTGATCAAACATTTCAAGGTGATATTGTTCTATGCACTGTTCCTCTTGGTGTTTTGAAGAAAAAGATGATAAGTTTTGTGCCTGAATTACCTGAAAGAAAACTTGAGGCGATTGAGAGACTTGGATTTGGGTTGTTGAACAAGGTTGCTATGGTGTTTCCTTATGTTTTTTGGGGTGAAGATGTTGATACATTTGGTTGTTTGAATAGAAATAGTGAGAATCGTGGAGAGTTTTTCTTGTTTTATAGTTATCACACAGTTTCTGGAGGTTCTGTTCTTGTTGCATTAGTTGCTGGTGAAGCTGCAAAATCGTTTGAATCCACACATCCTTCCACTTTGCTTCATCGTGTTTTAAATGTCCTTAAAGGTACTACACATCTCTAAATATTTTCTCTCTTTGGTATAATGGAATGGAATCACAAAGGACTGGAATGGAATCACTTTCTTTACCTAACTTTTTTTGTTTTGATAAATTTCCACAGGGATATATGGACCAAAGGGTATTGAAGTACCTAATCCAATCCAATCCATTTGTACAAAATGGGGAAATGATCCTCTGTCATGCGGTTCATATTCTCATGTGCGGGTCCACTCTTCCGGTAGTGACTACGATATCCTCGCGGAAAACGTTGCAAACCGCCTCTTTTTCGCCGGAGAAGCCACCAACCGCCAGCACCCCGCCACCATGCATGGGGCCTACTTAAGTGGGCTAAGAGAAGCTTCATGTATTTATAGAGTCAGACAGACTATTAATAATAATAGTAATGATGATAATAATAATAATATTAATAACAATAACAAGCAAAATAATCCCAAAAAAAGCATTCGAAGAATCATTGGAGTCAGTGATACTCTCGTAAACCTTTTCAAGAATCCGGATTTTTCTTTTGGGAATTTTCTTTTTGTGTTTGACCCTTCAAATGAAGACGATCAGTCAACCGGGCTCATGATGGTTGCCATTGATAATGATGATGATGATGATGATAAAGTCAAAGTCAAAGTCAACAATGGTCAAAGTCAACGTGCGGTGAAGCTTTACACGATGGTGACACGTGTACAGGCGCGGGATTTGGTGGCGGTGGTTGGTGGCGGGGAAAGGGGGCTGAGTTATATGTCAGAGAATCTTGGGTTGAAGTTGATGGGAATGGACTGTTTTGCCCTTGTGGCGAATTCGTTGATTTCTAATATTGCTACACGGAGAAGTAGGGTTAGGAATCGGGTAGTGTTTGGAAACCGTGTTTCGTACACGTGATGATGACGTGGCGTGTTGGACATTGTTGTAAGCACAGATACTTGTAGGACATGAACACTTTTGCACAGTTTTGTTGAGGAAGGCATACATGTCCTCATGGATTTAGTTTTAGAATCTTTTTTGAGTTTTTGTAATCACCTTGTAAAACTGTATACTAGAATCCTTTTGATTTAGTATTTGACACGATTTGTTTTGTCTCACAAACTCTCTTGTGAGATGACGCAATGATTTGCATAATCTGAAAGCAACAAAAGTAATATCATAAAACAACTATTTCATACATTGATTTTTGTTTGGAGATGATATATGCCTAATTAGACAATTACAAATTATTTTTTGCATGTTGTAGGTGTATAAAATAAATTTTACAAAACATAAATCATCTTCACCAAATAATCCGTCTATCATATCATGTTCAAACTTTTATATAGCAGGAATACTGAGCGACCCGGTGTTAAGTATCCGTGGTAATATCTGCATCAACATTAAGAATCCATGTAAATACAACATTAAAAGTTTAGACAAAATTACAGTTTTGGTCCCTGAGTATAACTGATTTTTCTTCAATTTTGGTCCCAAAAAACCGTTACAAGAACCTCAAAATAAGGTCCAACATTACAGGTGAATGTTTTGTGACCAAATTTGCAAAAGTTAGCTATATCAAGGGACGAAAAATGTAATTTACTCTTGCAAATAATATTAATTTGTAGAACAGACCTCTCCTAGGCGCGCATTAATTTTCAAATCTGCAAAATCATCAGCTCGAGTGTTGCCTATATTTACAATTGCTGTAGTAGCACCACCCTCATGAGCTGCTCTGTATAAATCAATTTTTACATAATCTCAAAAGTAAACAAAATAAATAAATAATTAAAATAAACAACCTATCAAACAATTAAAAAAAAAAATTCCAAGATTTACACCTGACAAGTCGAAAAGCAGACATGGTCATAACTGAAGAACCAAGAACAAGAAAAGCATCACACCCTTTAGCCGCCTCCATTGCCATATTAGCTCTATCTTTCGGTACATTATCACCAAAAAATACCACCTTCAAAACACACACATTAAAACTTTCAAAATTTTGTGATACTGACAGTGACAACTGACAGTTGACAGTGATAGTGACAGAATTGTCTTACATCTGGTTTTAGTACCCCGTTACATTTAGAGCAAGTTGGTATATGAAAATCTTCTTCCCAAAACTTTTCATCAATTTCAATATCACCATCGGGCCTTTGCTTCATCCCAAAACTCTTATCTGAATTACTATCATAATCCAAACTTTCTATAGCTTCCGCCCACTGTATTAACCAATTATATCTTTCTCATTACATATAATAACTTTTACAAAAAGAAAAAAATCTATAAATTAAATATTGTAACCTTCGGATTTAAAGACTTCAATTGCTCTTGAAACAACTCCCTTGGAAACAAGAATCCACAATCCACACATCCAACGGTGTACACAGTCCCATGTAACTCAAGCGGGGTACTACCAGCCCGATGGTGCAACCTACGACATGAAAAAACATTTTTTTTTATTTTTTTTTTATTTTATGAAAACAATTTTATAAAATAAGTTGTCTATAAAAATTTGGTACAAAAAAGATGACCTATCGACATTTTGTGTGATCATAAAGCTAATTCGATTTGCTTTTTCTAAAGATGCTAAAGCAGTGTGAGCTGCACTTGGTTTAGCTTCATTAAACTTCCTCCATCCTGCATAGCTTCTTGCCCAATACCTTCTTCTTGCACGACTAGAACGAATAAATTGCTAAATACATAACAACATTTGGAAATATTAGAATAAAAAAATTATAATATGATTAAAATTATCAAACATGAAAATGCAACCATTAAGATGCCTTTAGATCACCTGATGAGTAATTGGCTTGAAACCAGTACTATAAGCTCCATTTGGGCTGTAATTATTAAAAAAATTAATAATAATGATGATGTTATTACAATCTTTTAGTTTGTTCATAGTGTTGCAGACTAAATGACCGTTTTACCCTTACATTCCAAAAACAAAGTTGATAATATTCATCAATTTGAAGCTCATTAAGTCAAAATGAAAAGTACCTTCTGTAATCAGGAATGCCACACTCTGTGCTTATTCCAGCTCCAGTCAAAGCAACAAGTTTAGTACTGAAAAAAGTTGGGAGATTAAAAAAGAAAACTAATAAATATTAAGTTTTATGGCATCAAAATTCCACCTTTTAGCAAAAAACTCGTATAAAAGATCAACATCTTTAGTGGATGGTGGATCTGAATCGGGTACCACTTTCCTGTCTTTTAATAAGTTTGAATTTGAAGATGGATTCACAACAGTTTCTAAAGAGGATCCAGGAACTGTGATTCTGCATACTGTTTGTATATGCTTTACAGAGCCTCGAAATGATATTGTTGTGGTTTTACTTTTACCATTAAATTTATAGTATTTGCTAGCTGGATGAACAACATCTGTTTTGCTTCAAAAGGGTAAACATGGAAAACTATAATACAAATAGTTATAAGGATTCAAGATTCTGATGATTTCAAAAAGAGTAGTGAGTAGCTTGAATTTACTTGCCTGTCATAAAATGTGTAAGAACTTCCCTTGCATTATTGAGAGACTGCATATTGAAAAAATCAGAATAAGGATTTTCGGATTTTCAAATTATAACTTGAAATGATATGATACGTACATTTTCAAGAGAAATATGAACCTTTTGTGTCATTTCATGGATTAGGTTTTTATGTTCAATCATAATTGGGTTATTCAAATATATAAGCTTTGATTCTGCATCATGTTTTTTTCATTATCTTGTAAGAACATTCATAATATCAATATTCAACCTTCTACTACTAACTTAACGAGATTTATGTATTCATGATTCAGTTTGAACCCTACAAATGCAAATTCTTTCAATATAGATGACTCTTTCCTCAATCAAGCCTTTTTGCCCCAATTACTTACAGTTGCTAAAGGAACCATTTTTTTTTTTATTACTATAAGGATTCATTTTCCAATTCCTTTTATATAAAAACTGCTTAAAAGCTATAATGGCCGTTGATTACACTATGAAAACTGTAACACATCGATTAGTATGTATAAAGCATTCAGCTTTTTCAATTTTCTAATCAGAACTTCATAAACACTTCCTGTCATACTAAAATTATAAAGAACCAAGAGCAAATTCAGATCACGGAACAACAGTTCAAAATCAAGCTCACACCCAAAAAATATTAAGCGAAGGTTTTTTATTGTAAAATCCAAACAAAGGTCAAACTGAAATTGAATCATAGCGAAAGAGAAGGAGATTGAGAATTGATTACAAAAAATAGAGATTGGGAAGAAACACGCATCGCCATGGCCATTGAGCTGTTGAGTCCGTTAAAAACAGAAGAACAAAATGGCGCATTGTGGTCATCGATGACATTTTAGTGTGGTTAGGTCGGTTACAATGATATTTCCACGTCGCTTATCTTTGCACCATTTATTAAAATTAAATTTCACGTTTACACCATATGTTCTTTAAAAAAAGGAGGTGAAATTAATTATTTCATTTACAATGTGTATTTATTAGTTTGATTATTATAAAAAAAGTTATGTGATAAGGTAAAATTAGATAGATATTTCTATTATTGTAAATTTAATAAACAATTTTCTCAAATTTTCATTTTATCTCTCTTAAATTTAAATCGAAGAAAAGATGTATAATGAGATTATTTGGTTGGATAAAATGAAATATCAAGAAAATAGAATGTGTGAGGTAATAGAATTTGATGTCTAGACAATTTGATTGAATGATTGATTACAACTAACACGAACATAAAACACATAAAAGATAACTCAAAATGGAGTTTTAAATAATAATCGACAATTCTCTCAAACAAAGAAAACAAAATACATGTAAGGAGAAGAAGATAAGTTCATTCCTTAATTATAGGAGAATGTAATCGATTATGATAACATTCTTAATATATTCAAATCAAATCTCAAAAATACAATTTCTGAAAATATAAAATACAAAGTATAAAAACATTATTTCAGACCCCAAAACAGTTATGAATGGTCGAAAAGAATCATACATCATGGCGATGCTATGAGTTTTGTTAATCAGACTGTTTTTGCATAACGTGTGCTATTAATTCTAAGATGGCCGTATCATAAGTTTGATGATGATGTCTTCACACTTCCATTTCTACTAATGTTGACATCACCAAAGTCATGCATTATTGTTATGATCATGTTTGTTTTTTTGTTTGGAGTTTAAAATAAAACATGTGAAATAGCATTGTGTTGTCTTATCTTGATTACAATTTTTCATCTCTTTGCTAACCTGATTTATTCTGTAAACCTAGCGGGGGCACCTCATTCAGTCATTTGTAGGTGTGGCCTTGTTGGTCGTATTATGATTTATTCTTGTTTATGTTCTATTGTTTGCATTGACTTATTTTCCATGTTAACCTAATATACAATCGATGATGATGTGGAATGTTAGCTTATAGTCATTTAACATTTGATGTTCGGGGTAAAGTACATTGGTATGACTCGCCAATAACCATATTTCAATGGATAAACCTATAAAAAGAATACGAGTTTGTTACTCTATTAAGTATTCGAGTATCTGATAATCAACACTTTGGGTTGCAAAAGGTTCTAATCGGGAGAAAAGATGGCGGCGGTCTTATCCTTCGCCACACCCGCTTCCAATTTCAGAGTGATTTCGAACTCAAGTAGAACAGCAGCTCCATTACAGTCAAGCTCTCGAATCTCCATGGTTAATCACCATCAACATTCTGCTCCTTTATTTGTTCCTGAGGTTCGTCTTCCTGAATTTTATAACCTTTTAATTGAACCTGATTAACCCTCTCTCTGTTGCGTTGTTGCTTCTGCTCCCCTATTCCTGAAACCTCCCCCCTGCTTTTATCTCAAATTCGGCACTTTCGTCGAAACATAAATCTGATTTGGAGTTGGAAATCAACATCATTTGAAACTCATTTTCTCACTAAATATTTACGAATTTGCATCCAGATTGATATTATAGAAAAAGGAACAAGTTGCTTTGGGTGAAATTTGTTGGAGATTAGGTTTTAAACAACATGCGTTTGATTAAGAATGTAGTGTAGCATCATAGTATAACAAAATTTTACAATTTTCTCTGTTTGAATCTCAATTTAGGTTGAAAGTGCAGTTGATACCTTGTATCCGGAGTTTAGGGCGGTGGATAATCTTGTGGCACAGAATAGCTCTAGAGTTCTCAAAGCTTTTCAGAATGCAAGGGTCGGATCTCATGTATGATTATTCATCTTCACTTTAAGCCATCGATAATACAAATTGTCAATTGCTTCATAATCAATTCGGTAACTTATATCTAGCTTCCTAAAACATTCTTCCCATTATATGAATGTAGCACTTCAGCGGTTGCACTGGCTATGGCCATGAAGAAGCAGGTGGCCGAGAAGCCCTAGACCAAGCTTTTGCAGAAATTTTTGGTGCTGAATCAGCAATTGTTCGTTCACAGGTTTACCATATTTAATCATTCATCTGTTCTTCCCACCATTTTTATTACATTCTCAATTTACTTAACACACTTAAATTCAGTTCTTCTCAGGCACTCATGCTATTACATGTGCCCTGTTTGCTTTCTTGAGACCTGGTGATGAGGTACTTAATCTACTCATTTAGAACGCATAAAACTTATTCATTAATTTTTATCAGCTTTTGGCAGTTGCTGGTGCTCCTTATGATACACTAGAAGAAGTCATTGGAATCAGAGATGGAAATGGGTTAGGCTCATTAAAAGATTTTGGAATCAGTTATCGAGAAGTTGCAGTAAGTTTCTCCTCACCTTTTCTTCAACCCTAAACCCTAAACCCTAAACCTTAAACCCTGTGTTGCAAGTTGTTATGCATGCCTTGTTTCAGCTTGCAGATGATGGAGGCCTTGATTGGGATGCTCTTGAAGTGGCTTTAAAACCTGAAACAAAATGTGCCTTAATACAAAGATCATGTGGGTATTCTTGGCGTAAAAGTTTAAGTGTAAATGAAATATCAAGGGCAATACACATGATCAAGGTGACTTTCAAACTTTTTATTGTTCCTTTCTTTAGGGTTTAGAATGACAAAGTAATGGAAAGGTTAAGGTGATGAAATAAAAAAAGTAATGTAGTGGAATTAAGTCATTACATTCCATTATCATGTTTGGTTGGCTTTGCCTTTGAGAATGGAAAGAGTTGATGCAATTAAAATTAAAATTAAAATTATATTGTATTATTTCAGGCACAAAATCCAAATTGTTTGGTAATGGTGGATAACTGCTATGGTGAATTCACAGAAACCATTGAGCCTCCTATGGTGGTATATGTCATCAATCAATCTTTATATTTGTTTATTTATTTTTTCAAAACCAATTAATTATAACGTGTTAAACAGGGTGCAGATCTTATTGCAGGAAGTTTAATAAAAAATCCAGGTGGCACAATCGCGCCATGTGGCGGATACGTTGCAGGAAAAGAGAAATGGGTAAAAGCAGCCGCAGCTCGTCTCTCTGCACCTGGTCTTGGGGTTGACTGTGGGTCAACTCCTGGTGACATCATGCGAATGTTTTTTCAAGGATTATATCTCTCACCTCAAATGGTTGGTGAATCCATAAAGGTATTTTGATTTATCTTGGAGCTTAAATCCTTAGTATAGTTTAGTAACATAATTTTTTTAAAGATATATTAAACTTGTCCTGTTTAAATTATACTACTTCTAGGGAGGGTTACTTATAGCGGAAGTTATGTCCAACAAAGGTTACAAGGTCCAGCCATTACCACGAGGGCCACGTCACGACATAGTACAGGTTTGTTACACGCATTTTATTATTTATAAATCAAAGTTTTAATTTTATTATTTTTGTTAAATAATAATAAAATTTGGATTTTACTTTATTTTTGTGTAGGCTGTACAGCTTGGAAGCCGTGAGAGGCTACTTGCTTTTTGTGAAGCTGTGCAAAGAAGCTCCCCTGTGAGCTCTTATACGAAGCCGATTGCTGGTGTGACAGCTGGCTACGCGTCAGAGGTGATCTTTGCTGACGGGACGTTTATTGATGGGAGTACGAGTGAGCTTTCGTGTGACGGACCGTTAAGAGAGCCGTTTTGTGTGTTTTGTCAGGTTTTTATTTTTTATTTTTTATTTTTTTTATATTATATTTAGAAAATGGAAAAATAATTGGATTTTTTTTTTTTATATAATATCAGGGTGGTACTCATTGGACTCAATGGGGACTTGTTCTTGGTGAAGTTTTGAAATCGTTGTAGCTAGAAGAGATATGAAGATATGTTTTTGATTAGTAAGGTTTGTATAAGTTTAGTGTAAATGATGTTTACAAGTACTTGGATTCATTTTTGTATACTTTGGTTTACATTTACTTGGACACGTCAATGTTATGTTAAAAACATGAGGTTGAATTTTAGATTAAAAGGGGTAAAATAGTCATTAAATAGAAAAAAGAAATGTTGTTAGTCCATAGACAAAAAACATTAGCCGAATACGAGTGTTTGACAAAAGTAGTTAGGAATTTTTAAAGCATGTAAAATTATATAAAAAGACTTATTTAAAACAGGGCATTGATTTTAAATATTGATAATTAAGTCAATTTGTAAAATTATATAATAGTTTTGTTAACCGCTATTTGAAATAACTTTTAGATTTGTACTTTTTTATTTTAGGTAAAAATTAGACTTAATTATAACATTGAGTCAAGTATTGAAGTCAACTGACCTAGCTTAGCCTAAAATATTTAGGAAGTATCGTTATAATAATCATTTAGATTTTCAAAATCTCACACGTTTAGCCTCTATTCTTTGATCAACATAAATTAGTATAATTTGGGAAAATGATAGTTTAGCCTCTATTATTTGATCAACATAAATTAGTATAATTTGGGAAAATGATTCAGAAGGGTAACAAATTGTTCATTTTGTTCACATTTGATCTATTTTTTTTATATGGAATATACCATCGAACCTGTTTGTGTTCACCATAACCCTTTTGACCGGTTATTATAGGTGATAGTTGGTCGGATGGTATATTGCGTATAAAAAAAAAACCAAATGTGAACGAAATTAACTGATGGTTACCTACCTATGTCATTTTTCCTTTTATTAAAAATGAGTTGAAAAATATGAATTGGAAATAAATAAGTTATTATATGTCAAGGTCAATTACATGTTCCGGGGAATAAAATAGTTCTTCAATTATTATTGGAAAAATTCGTTTAACAAGTATAAATCGAAGTATAAGCAACTGTAATAAAAGCATTAAGTGAGTTTTGATGGTTAGTTGACGAACATATATAAAATTTACTTCAAATGGTAAAGTTGATGTTGATCATCTTAATCTGATGGCAACTTTTGTCAAACTTTTTCTAATGATTTGGGGAAGGACATTTATAGGGTTTATTTAGATGATGGGGATGGTGAATCCAAGCATTTATCAATGAACAAAACTATATTTTATCTTTTTAATATTCTAATAGGTTAAGAGATGGATTTACTTGAGTATCATTGAGACCTTTCTAAATGATAATGTTGATACGAGCTCAAGAAGAAAATGAGTAAAATGTAAAAGGCTGGGCCTGATTCACTACACACCAATGTTTTCTTTAGTAAAATTAAAATGAAACATTGTCTTTGGAAAAATATGGAAAATAATTCAAAAGGGTAACAAACTCTTGATTTGTTCATATAGGATATTTTTTTTATACAATATATCATCGAACTTGTTGTTTGTATTTATCATAACCATTTTGACCGGTTATGACTATCACAAATGATAGCCGGTCAAAATGGTTATGGTGAATACACGCAACAAGTTCGATGATATATCATTGCATTCAAAAAAGAAAAAAAAAATCAATAGTTGGTTACTTGGTTACCTATCACCGCTTTCCCGTATCATTTATTAGGGGTGTTTGGATAGGGAAAAAAAAGTGTTTAATTACTTGTTGCTTATTTCCACCACAAGAAGCTAAGTTTAAGTGTTTAGATAAAACCAGCTTGTTGTGTTAGAAATAAGCTAATTTTATTAAACATATCTTCTCTTCCTTATTACTTATTCTGACCACAAATAAATTAATAAACAATAAATTAACAAGCTAATCCAAAAACAAAGGATTTAACGTTGGGATGTAGAGAATCGTCGACATATTTATATCCCACATCGAGATCTACGCTTTCTTCCATCAATCAATGATCCCCATGTATATATGGCCCACATATCATGTCCCACGTTTGTGTCTCCTCGACCTCGTGGGTCAATTTAAGAATACGTTACTGATTTTCCCACCTAATACGCTCATCGCACCACATTAACACTTTCTACCAATTTTTGTACACCTCTACTCCTTCGATTGATCATCTTCTACCTACTCTCTTCAAGTTTTCTTCTTCGTTCGTTTGCTGTTAACTCGGATTCACCCTACAGGTACCCCTTAATTTTTGTATTTGGTAGTTTTTTTTATTAATTACAGATCAAGCATCTAGTTGTTTTCGATCGATCTTGATTCTCGAGTTTTTGTAAGGTATTTACTCGATTTGCTGTTTGAAATCGCTTCATTCTGGCTGATATTCGTGTAGTCAACTCTATTCAACTTCTAGGTTATCTTACATAGCATTCATCGCGATTATCGGATCATTGAGCATATTTTGGTCAACACAAAAAGTCAAAGTTTTCATTCTTTTAGTTTGATTCACTGAAACAAACATCTTTACGCAGGTTTTCTCCCATTGAAGAACGTTAAGATGACTCGTAAACAGGAAACATTGATAGGTTCTGGAGCTTGTGTAGCAGTTACAGTCCTTTTAGCATTGAAATTAGTTCGCGATCATCTTTCTCATTGGAAAAAACCCAAGGAACAAAAGGCGATCATAGTGATCATCCTCATGGCCCCAATCTATGCAGTTGACTCATATGTCGGATTGCTTGATATTCGTGGTAGCGAGACCTTTTTTGTGCTCCTGGACTCCATCAAAGAATGCTACGAGGCTCTGGTAAAGATCAAACCCTTATTTACTCCATTTACTTGATATTAATTGTTTCAAAAAGACTAATTTTATCGTTTATCAAATTCAGGTGATGGCCAAGTTCTTGGCTTTGCTTTACACTTATTTGAATATATCTATAAGCAAGAACATAGTCCCGGATGAAATCAAAGGAAGAGAAATTCATCACTCATTCCCAATGACTCTATTCCAAGTAATTTCGGTTTTTATATTCAATTTTGAAGACAATGAACAATGATGTTTAATTTGATATATACTAACATATCTAATGATTAAATGCAGCCTCATTCTGTTCGTTTAAACCATCAAAACTTGAAGCTTTTGAAATACTGGACATGGCAGTTTGTAGTGATTCGCCCTGTGTGCTCTGTTTTAATGATAATCTTACAGCTTCTTGAGATCTATCCTGATTGGCTGAGCTGGACATTTACTATGATCTTGAATGTTTCAGTTTCATTGGCGTTATATGCCCTTGTGATTTTCTACCATGTTTTTGCTAAAGAATTGGCACCACATAAACCTCTTGCAAAGTTCTTGTGTGTCAAAGGAATCGTCTTCTTCTGTTTTTGGCAGGTATACTTCTCACCTGGGCCCCATTTGACAAGACATGACTTTTGAAATTTGATTATTCTTTTTTGCAATTAAAAAAAAAAATGTTGGGGTTTATTTATTGTATATGATTATTTGCAGGGGATTGTACTTAGTGGTCTTGTGGCAATGGGGATAATTAAATCGAATCATTTTTGGCTTGATGTGTCGCATATCCAACAAGCTTTGCAAAATGCATTGGTGATTGTGGAGATGGTGTTTTTTGCAATGTTTCAGATGTATGCATACACTGCTGCACCATACAAGGCTGCTGATATTAAAGAAAAGAAGAAAGAGTGATTGGTAAAAATATTGATCTTAAGATTCTATTTTTGGGTATTATATATAAAGGTACCATTTTTATGTTTATGTCTTGAGCTTATGAGGATATGTAGAATAATTTATTAAGCATTAATTCCCTTATATAGGGATTGTATTTGGATACAGTAGATATTGAATGAATGCAGAGTGTTTCATTCTATATATTGTTCTAATGATATTTTGATTTCATTCATGAGATATCATAAGAGCTTGTTAAAGGGTTGCATTTCCATAAGCCGTATTTTGGGTAATTAACACGTAACACACTCAAAAAACTACAAAATACAACCTAACTAGTGTAAAGCACATACATTTAGGAAACAAAGTGAAAATCTATATATTGGGGCACACACAATATAAAAAATTACAAGAACATAAAAATACAATACAACAAATACAATACGGCTAACAATTACTAGGAATAAAAGTCAAAATCTATTTCAAAATGAAATACAAAACACCCTTATAATTTTGTTTGATTCCCATCTCGAATTTCTTAAAATTTAACCCGAGGGTTAATTATGTAAAAAGATCTTACAAGTTAGGGTTTTCTTTTTCGTTTAAAACATTAACCTTTTTATTTCAAAAAAAAAAAAAAAAAAAAAAAACTCCCGTTTTAGCCATTTTAGCAAAGGGTTAATGATGTAAAATGAACTTTAATTTCTTTTAAAAAAATTCAAATTTGATGATTTTTTTTCTTTAAACCAACGTTTTCGTTGTAACTTATGCTTCTAATGTTCTTATTGATGTTGTTGCTTATAGTGTTGGGCATGGTTTTCAACATTAAAATTTGAAGGAAACATTATATTGTTTTTTTGAGCAAAGAGAATGGATGTTATATCCAAATTTTGTTGGCAAAATACATATCAAACCTACTTGTAGGATGCTCAACGGTTGTAACAGATGAATAATATATTTTTAGGTTGTCACGACACGTTAGAGTATTTTCAAAATCAAATAGAAATACGGATCTCGAACTCCAATCTATGTTTGGAAAATTAATTTTGTTTTCTTGTTTTCTACTTTTCTTTGTATTTTCAATATAAAAAATGATTTAATATATATTAATTTCATCGATTTATCCGAGTCTTATTTTTCCCCACCTATAACCATATTAATAATAGCATAGTCAATAAATTTCTTAGGCATTACCTTGTTATTCATATTCAAATTAGTAGATGCAAAAGATTTTGCTAAAAAATGCAACCTTTTAGTTTCCAAATTAATAAATGTAGTTGAATATTAACAAACACAAAACCTTCGGTCTCCAGATCAGTACACAGAGAATCTTCGGCTAACATTTAACAAATACAAAAACATCAGTGTCGTCACCAAATTAGCATATGATAGAACCAATGGGGTGTTTGGCTTAGCTTTTTAAGGGCCAAAAGTCTTTTCTTACAAAAGTTGCAAAAAGTCAGGTTTTCCTAACTTTCCAAAAAGTTGATTTTCTTTCTATCAAAAATCAAAAAGTAAGTTTTAAAATTGTTTTATCAAACATCTTTTAGCTTCTATCTTTTTCTAGAAGATCTTTTGGTTTCTCAAAAACTAAGCCAAACAACTCAAAAGTTGTTCCAACAAATTTTTTTTTTGTCAAACGTGATTTTTTTTGTTAAATTGAAATATTACCTAAATCTGCTAAAATGGACAAAATAAGTAAATAAATAAATATTTAATGATTTAAAAAAACTCAAAATACAAGATATTTTACATAATTAACCTTCAAACCGGTATTAGATATGAACGAATAACAGTTGGGCATACCATCGAAGTGAACGGTTCTAACTTCTTACCGTAACAGTCGACATAAAGACAGAAAGGATAGAGATGAAAGAGGAGAGAAGTAAGAAAGGCAAAGAAAAGTTTTTTTTTTCTTTTTTTTCAGGAGTTTTTCAAGAAGAAGAGTAGATCCCTTATTTTTCATTATCCGCTACACTCTTTTTTTATAATTTTCTTCAAGAAACTATGAATCTTTTCCAATTTTCATAAACCCTTCTCCTATTCGCCATGATGACGACAATATTCCCACAAATTTTCGCCACTTTCACAGATTACAAACCCCCAAGACAACCTTTTTACACTACAAAATCACGACAATCCACCAACACTTTTACAAGGAGATACGTTTGTTGTTTTCATCAGCAAAATTCTAGATTGGGTTTTGAATCCAGAGTTAAATTGTCACTGAGTAAAGACCGGTTCGATGAGAATCTAATCAATAAGAAGAGGGTCGTTCTTGTTAGGTCTAATAATCTTAAATTCAATAGCTCCGGCGGCGGCGGTGGCGGAAGAGACGACGGCAGCACAGCAAGGGTTTTGGGGAATCTTGCTTTGGCTATCGGCTTGACTTATCTTTCTTTTACTGGACAGCTTGGTTGGGTACTTGACGCCATTGTTTCCGTTTGGGTATTAATCTCCCTTCCTCTGTTTCTGCATTATTCTCAAAATTAGATCCAATTGCTCAATTAGTAACATTTCATGCTTAATTGTGTTCTAATCAAACGAATTTACTGTATTTTAATGGCAGCTTCTTGTGATTCTTGTCCCAATTGTGGGTTTAGGAGTTCTTATTTGGTGGGCAGGAAAAGACATGGTTCAAAGCAATGTAATTTCGATCTTTGACAACACTATAGTATTTACAAAATTCCATTATTTAGATTAATAAATCGTGTATTCTAAGCAATTGATTTGTGTCGTTTTATACAGTGCCCCAATTGTGGAAATGAATTTCAGGTTTTTGAGTAAGAAACTCAATTCGATTCTTATGCTTCTAAATTGTTTATGAAATATTTGGTATTTACATTTTTTTGTTGTTGTTGTAGATCTACGTTAACTGAGGAGTCACAGGTGTGTCCCTATTGTAGTCAACCTTTTTCAGGTAAAATTATGTAATCTTTTAGGGTATTTTTGTAAATGAATAATTTCTTATAACCGAATATTTGTGTGTATAATATTGGATTTCAGTGGTGGGTAATGAGTTTGTAAGAAATCCTGTGAAATACCCGAATGAATCTACATCATTTGGTGAAGCTTTTGGCGACTTTTCTTCTCGTTCAAATAAAGGTACATTTTGTTAAGCTGTTCTTTCTATATTGACACCAAATAGAAATGCTCATATATTGCTTACTAGGATTGTTTCTTTTCTAGATTGAATAAACCGTTTTAAATACACTAAATGACCATTTTACCCTTATATTCCAACAAACAATTTTCACATTGTTCATAAATTTTAAAATGAGGGGAGTTGGATGGAAAAAAGAAAGAAAGAAATGCAAATACGAATAGGGTTGATGTCTTAATGCATTAAGCCATGTTTTTTTAAGTCATTTTTTTTCTAGATTAAGTGCTTAAACCCTTAAGGAAAAAAGAAACACCCCCTAAAGAAGGGCAAATAGGTAAAATGTTAGTGTTTTAATATATTACATGGGTGGATGGTTTGTGCAGGGAAGGCTTCATCTAGACCTGTTATTGATATTGAAGCTGAGGTTAAGGATATCGATTGAGGTGTCAAAACTATTCTTACTCCTTCCCTATTGTTGTAATGAATATAGATAGAATCAAAAATCAGAAATCGTGTATTCATAAGTTTTTGATGTACAGAAGAATTATATGATTTGTAGCAAAATAATGCGAGATTATTTGTATTCTTTAAGTAGTTCCCATAATTCAAGGGAAAACATATCACTTTAAATGCAAAAACATGTAATGCTAGAACCTAGAGGTGATAATTTTGACTCATTTAAAATGAGTTGGGTTTGGTTCAAATGAGGAATATCTACAAAACAGGGTATATTTGGAATAGATAAACTAGTTTTCATGAAAGCTATTGGATGTGGCTTATTGATAAACTTAGGGGGGGGGGGGGGGGGGGTTCCAAAATACCATTAATAAAAGAATGAGTTTTAACATTTGTATAACAATATTGTGTAAGTTTTTAATGTATAAAAATCATAAAGGGCTTAGACAATATTTTCAGATTTTTAAGTTCAATCTCAGAAAATGCAGAAATAAAGATAAAAGTAAATCGATGTCATCATTTTTATCATTTAATAATAGTATATATTGTTGACTATTCTTAATGTTCTTATGCTCAAACATATATTCTACCATTTGTGATTTTATTGTAGTTAAATAAAAAATCTTAATATTGTTTCCACTTGTAAATCAAATTAATAGATAAATTTTGTTTACTTGTAAATCAAATTCCCTCAACCATTAGCTTTAAAGTTTTATTATAAACAATTATTGTTAGAAAGAGTGGTGCTTGATATATGAATCGTTGGGGTATCAAGTCTTGTCCAATATGGAACACTTAGATCACAATGGAACACTTGGGGTTGGGGTTCATGGAGCATGTGACAAATGAACTTATCATTTGAAAATGAATGGATCATATGACAAAGAAATGAATCAAGTGTCAAATGAATGGATTGTCCAGAAGGGGGTTGGAGCACATAGAAGAGGTTTGGATCACTTGGGAGTGATATGGAGCAACAAGGGGACCTTGTTGCGCCATCTGCTGAAGACATGGGCTAAGAGAGATACTGTTGCGCCAAGGGCACTCCTTGCGCCAAGATAATCCCTCTTGCTCCATGAGGTATCCCTCTTGCGCTATGGAGTATGTTGTTGCGCTATACATGTCATTGTTACGCCAAGATGGCGATGTTGCTCCAACCTAGATGCTCTTGTGCCATCCATATTCTTGTTGTGCTATGATGGCGCAAGACCATCTTGGTCCTTGATGAGGCAAGTATGTTATAAACTCCTCTATGATGCTCAAGATGAAAGAATGTTCCAAAAGATGTTGCTTGGTGGAATATAATTGGTTGTTACAATTTATGGGCCTATGATCCAATGGGCTTGGCCCATTAGAGTTTCCAAAATACCATTAATAAAAGAATGAGTTTTAACATTTGTATAACAATATTGTGTAAGTTTTTAATGTATAAAAATCATAAAGGGCTTAGACAATATTTTCAGATTTTTAAGTTCAATCTCAGAAAATGCAGAAATAAAGATAAAAGTAAATCGATGTCATCATTTTTATCATTTAATAATAGTATATATTGTTGACTATTCTTAATGTTCTTATGCTCAAACATATATTCTACCATTTGTGATTTTATTGTAGTTAAATAAAAAATCTTAATATTGTTTCCACTTGTAAATCAAATTAATAGATAAATTTTGTTTACTTGTAAATCAAATT